TCCGTCCGTCCGTCCGTCCGTCCGTCCGTCCGTCGTCGTCGTCGTCGTCTCTCTCTCTCTCTCTCTCTCTCTCTCTCTCTCTCTCTCTCTCTCTCTCTCTCTCTCTCTCTCTCTCTCTCTCTCTCTCTCTCTCTCTCTCTCCGCCTCTCTCTCCCCCTCTCCCCGTCTCCACTTTCGGCACGCCATCCGGCTTTCCGCCTCTCCAGCATTCCCCTGTTGATCTTCACAATTTTGAGCACCCCTCATCCTTCTCATCACTCTGCGTCTTGGGTCTTCGACACCCTCTTCGTTTCACGCCAAGACGCCGCAATGGGCTTTTGGCTACCTTGAATGTACCTTCGCAACGCTCGTCCTCACGCTTCCCGTCGCTTCCGCTTCCTTCGCGTCTGACGACGAGAAGCTGCGTGTGTCTTCTGGACGCCCAGATTCCGGATCAGACACGTCCCTGAGCGGATCCAGAGTACGACATCAGCGAGCTACCTGTCAGTGGGCGTCTCTGTTTCCCCTTGACGCGAGGTGCCTTGGCAACGGCGTCTGATCACTGGCCCAGCGACTCGAGTGATGCGGTCTTGCACGATGTTTTCACCGCGGGTTGGGTTCAGCATTGTATTCTGCGACCGGTCTCGCATGTCCCCTACTACACTGGCACGTCCAATGCGACGTGCTGTGAGGATCTGCGCCCGCCCAGGCCGGTGCGCTTGCCCGCCGCCGCCCTGCTTCCACCCTGCGGGCGCCGCCTATAGCTCTTCGTCGTGCTCGACTTGTGGTGCGGCTTGTTGCTCGGCGTGCCCGGCGACGACTTCTGTCTGCTGGGCTGAATCGTAGTCGTACACCTCTTCTGCTCCTCCTCCATCTACCGCTTCAGTCTGTTCGGCGCCCGCCCACCATGAGACGAGTCCAAGACCTTGTCCCGAGATGGAGCACTAGACGGGCGAGGGGCAATGCGGGAACAGGGAAGAGGTCTGAGGGACTTAGTGCTAGGCCTTGGAGCCTGGCAAGCGAGCCTGACACTTACGGTAAGAGAGTAGTGAGGCCGCGTGTCTTTCTTTGCAGCTTCGCGGCTATGAGGATCGAGGTGTGGACCCCCGCTCGCGTCGGTCCCGGAGGGTGGGCCGGGTTCGGCGTCGTAGAACTGGTCCGACTCGACGCTGAACCTGATGAGCTCGCCCGGATCCAGGTACATTCTCTCCTCTGGCGCAGAGAGGAGCGGATCCTCTGCAATCTGGGGGGTCCTCGCCTCAAAGAGCCAGAAGAATGCCCTCTCCTGGTGGTCAAAGGCCGATGGTGCAGGGATATGCGGTGCGGGGATGTAGATGTCGTCGAAGAAGCCCATCGTGACTCGGATGCCGGTTTCATCGGAGCTCTTGATCTTTCCGACGAGGACCTGGTTGGTGAAAGGCCGGAAGACGATGAGGCGGAAGGTGACTTTGTGGTAGAGAAGGCCGTCGCCCCATCGCACTCTGCCCTCGGAGCAGGAGGAGATGTCGAAGAGCGAGATGCAGAGCCCCACATCCTGAAGGATCTTGTTGGCAAATTTCCGGTTGATCTGGTCCGACACGGCCTGGATCGTCGGCATGCCAAAGTGGTTGGGGTGCACCGCGATGGTGTCCTCGAGCTCGGAGAGGACAAACATGGCGGGCTGAACAGAGGAGCTGGCCCTCGACCGTGGCCGCTCCGGCGGCTGGCGCGGTCTGGCAGGCCGGGGCGAGCGAATGTAATCAGGGAGCAAGCTCTTGGTATGCCCGTGTCGAGCGGGGGAGGAGGAGGGCGTGGCGTTCTAGATGATCATGGCTGGCGAGAGCGTCGCTGCTACTGCCGATGTAGGGACCGCCCGGTGTGCCTTCTGGCCGTTCGAGGCACGTTTCGACGCCGGTTGGAAAGGTGGAAGATCCCGAGACGAGCGCCGTTGCTGGTCGCGCGATGCGGCGTCGGAGGACGGTGTATGATGAAATGGGTGTGTGTAGTGCGCAGGGAAGGATGAAGCAAAGCCGCGAGCAGAGAGAGAAAGAGGGAAGCTGGAATTTCTCCACCTTTTTGCGCCAACCTTTTTTTTCCCGCCCCCCTTTTGGCCTGCTCGCGGGCGTGGCGTGGCGTGGCAGGCCGAGTGGGCTTGCGGGCCAGCCGAAAAGTGGCCGCTGATGACGCCGAGAAAGGGAGAAAGTGCTCGAGGGAGACAAGATCCGAGCGCGCCGGCCCAGCACCCGTCTCTTTGGCTGGCTGGCGTGGCCATGGCCGGCCGTCGGAACGACTCCGCAACCCAACACCCCACCACCTCCTACCAACCTATACGGTCGCACCACCGGGCACCGTTCCGACCAAGACGATGGAGTTCAACACGCTCAAGGAGGAGAGGAGCCGGCAGCAGCCCGACGCCGCTTCCAAGGCCTCGTCCAGCACAGCCTCGGCCGGCTCGCCGTCGTCGACCGCACCCGCACCAACCCTTCGCTCGCAGCCTGCTTCAACCCATGCGCACCGGTCAGACTTTCCTCCCCAGACCGATGCAGATGCGCCACCCATACCGCCCGACGCACCCGTCCCCTCCGCCGCCCATGACGATGCCCCCCTCGATGCTCAACAGCCGCCGCTCCCGGAGCACAACCTGCTCCGTGCCACACAGCTGCTCCAGGGCGGCCCATCAAACTCGCCCTTTGCTCCCAACCCCATCCTGCGGCTCAGCTCGATCCGCATCGTCGGCGCAACCTCTCTCCGCCCCTCGTTCCTCGCAACCCTATGCAGACCCTACCTCGACCCCGCCCTCAACGCCCAGACCCTAGGCAGCCTCAACAGCGCCAACACCGCCCTCTACGGCAGTAGAATGTGGCACCCGCTTCCGTACCAGCCGACGACGCTGCCGTCGATCATGAACCTGACCGGGTCCATTGTCGAGGACCTCACCAAGCTCGACATCTTCCAAAACATCGACGCCACCCTGGCGCCCTCGCTTGCCCCCGATGCCACCGAAGAGGACGTCGACGTCATCCTCTCGTGCAAGCCCAAAGGCCGCATCTTTCTCAAGTCATCGACCGACGTCGGCAACGGAGAGGGCTCGGCCTCGGTACAGGGCAGGATCCGCAACGTTTTTGGCGGCGCAGAGACGCTCCAGGGCAGCGCCACTTTTGGCACAAGGACAAAGCAGGCCTTCAACCTCCAGTTTGCCATGCCGCTGCTGGCCAACGCCGACCATGTCGCCAGCCTCACCGCCTTCTCATCCGAGCGGGACCTCACCGCATTCTCGAGCGCCTTCGAGAGCATCAAGGGCTTCAAGGCGGCTGTCTCTTCCAACGTATCCGCCTCGCCCGCCATCCAGCACGAATTTGCCTATGAGGCCTCGCTTCGCGGATTGGGGCGGTTACTGCCTGACGCCTCGATCAGCATGCGCAAGCTGGCCACGCAGCCGACCGTCAAATCCTCGCTCAGCCACACCGTCATCCAAGACACGAGAGATGACCCGGTCCTCCCGGGCTCCGGCGCCTACTTCAAGCTGGTCCAGGAGCTAGCCGGGTTCGGGGGCGACGCATCGCACTACAGGGCCGAGATGGAGTTGTCGCTCGGCCGCCGTTGGACGTGGCCCTTCAGCGGCCTGCTCGACCACCTCTCCTCGGCTGACAGCCGCAACTGCCGCGACGCCAAACCATCTCCTTTCCTTGACGAGACGTCTCGGTCTTCGTCACCGGCTGCCGCAGATCTGCCCTCGGCTTCAGCTCCGACGGCACCGATGCTGCCAACATCGACGATGACGTTCCGAAGCGGCCTGCTGCGCACGCTCAACGGGGCACCCTCGCTCTACTCGGATCGCTTCCAGCTCGGAGGACCGACCTGCGTGCGCATGTTCCGCCTCAACGGGCTTGGGCCCAAGGACAAGCTCGACAGTCTTGGCGGTGACGCCTTCTGGAGCTTCGGCGTCGATACCAACTTCAACATCCCCAAGAGGGAAGAGTGGCCGCTGAAGATGCATGCCTTTGCCAACGCGGGACAATTGGTTCAGCTCGACATGGGTGAGTGCTTTGAGGCCGCGTTGACCCTTTACCCCTTCTGAATCTCTCGACCCTGCTGACCGCCCCTTCCTCTGCGATGCTGATGGGCCCCCGACGACGATAGCCAAACCCGTGTCCGCCTCGCTCTCGCCGCTACTGCAGCCTTCAGTTTCGGCCGGTGTGGGTCTCGTCTACCTCCAGGGACCTTTGCGGGTCGAACTTAATGCAGGTCTCCCACTCGCGGCACGGAGGAGCGACTCGATCCGCAAAGGCCTCCAGCTTGGCGTTGGCATCAGCTTCCTCTGAGAAACGACGTTCCATCAGGCGGACCTCAGTCGTCCCAGCCGCTGCTCTCGAACATAGAAGTCGCGCCCTCCGCATCTGATAGCGCTCTTCGGGAGTCATTCCCACCATAACACCGCCACGCGAGGAAAAGGGCGGCTCGTTACCACCGCTGGAAAGGAAAAAGGGGGGGGGGGGGGGGCGTTCTTCCTGCTTTCACATTCCAGGCTTCGTTGCAGGGTGGGCTGAGAGACACGAGACATGCTGCCGATCTTCGACTGATGCTCTGAGGTGGTGTGCAACGAATAGTGAACAATCGCAGCCTTTTAGATGTCCTCTTCCTTGACGAAGCCGGGGTTCTTCATCAACAGCGAGAAGCCCTCCAGCACTGTGCAGGGCAAGGGGGGGGGACGGAGGCGAGGTCAGAAGTCGAGGTCTTCGCAGCAGTGACACGGCGAGGTGAGGGTGGAGACGCACCGTGAGCGTAGGGCAGGTATTCCTCGGTCGCCAGCTCGGCCCGTTCGTACGTTCCGAGGCGCACGGGCGTGGTGTGAGTCTGCGGAGCGAGGGAGGAGACGACCATGACTCTGGGTCAGTCTTTGTGTTCACTTTTCGAGCGCCATCGTGCCACAATGCGGCGGGCGGCGGGGCTCGTGTTGTGATGACTCACCTGGAAGCCCGAGATTGTCCTTGGCTTGCCGGCCTGACCCACGACGTCGACCGCCTGTCCGACCCGCACCGACGTCGCCAGGTTCTGCAGGTCCTCGTCGAGCGTGATTAGGAAGCGCGGGTACATGGCCGAGACGAGCCAGTAGAGCATCCAGTGTGACTTGTCGAGCACAAAGCCGCGCGCGTCGGTGAAAGAAACCAGTGTCGCAAGCAGGCCGCAGATGGCGGTGCGGCTCATCAGCTGCCGGTCCGTGTGGTAAGGATTGATCCCGATGGTGCCCTTGCCCATGTGGACGAGACCCTGGGCGACGCGGACCATGAAGAGGCAGTCTGGCTCCTTGTGATAGTAGCCTGCCAGCTGGCGGAGCATCTGGGCCAGGCGAGCATTGTTGGTGCCGGCGCCGACCAAGCCCATGGCGAGGATAGCGTTGATCGCCACATCGAGGTCGTTGTCGTGCGAGTACTTGGACAGCGTGTCGAGGATTGCCATCGCTGGGTTGGACGGGTTGAGGAGCGCCAACGCCAACGGCACCGCGCGACGGATGACGGGCTCGCCGTAGTGCATGAGGTGCGACATGTGCCGCAGCGTCATCTCAGCGCCGACATCTTCGCCCATGGCCACTAGGGCAATGCCGATGACCGCGAATGACTGGTAGAGATCGTTGGGCTCGGCCTTGTCCTCCTCGCTCTCCTGACCGCTGCCGCTGCCGCCACCCTCGGTATTGCTGTTCTCGCCGCTGCCGCTGCCCTCCTTGTCCTCGCCGCTGCCCTCGCCCTGACCGCCGAGCCGTTCGGTGCAGTGATGCAGCATCGACTGGACCTTGAGGACGTTGCCCGTGCCGGCATAGCTGCACATATCGACCAACACCTGTGCCTGCTTGGAAATCGGGTGATCGATGGCCTTGAGCGTCTCGATGGTGGCGTCGCTCTCGTCTTGCTGGCCGAGGAAGAGCAGCGCCAGGCCGAGGCTCATGAATCTGGCCCACTTCTCGTTGAGTTGAGCGGGCTCGCGCTCCATCATCGACTGCAGGATGGTTGGCGTGATCTCGCCGTGCGCCGAGCCGACGAAGATGAAGCCCAGGGAGAGCGCCGACATGGCGGCCACCTCCATGGGTGCTGTCTCGTCCTGAACGTGCTGGAGGAGGAGGGGCATGATGTCCTCACGGCACGAACCGGCGTAGGCGAGGCCGAGGCCGACGATGGCCGAAATCTTGAGGGGCACGCTCTTGCTCTCGACGTGCTCGCTGAGCAGTGCTAGCGCGGCGTCCATCTCGGTCTTGACGCCCGAATGGAGGATTCCGTAGGCCATCAGCGCGCCGGCCTTGATGTTCTCGTCCGACGAGTACGTGTACTTGTCAATGTGGCTCAGTCCCATCTCGGTGTCCCAGAGCAAGCTCATGCCGAGCGAGGCCGCCGCCGAGAGCATGCCGCGATCCTTGTTCTTGTAGATCCAGGAATTGCCCTCTTCGGCCCCGACCATGAGTTTGTCGTTGCCAAAGCCCGCGTTGACAAAGGCATTGACGAAGGTGCTGGCCAAGTTGCCGCGGGCCGAGTCGACCGTGGTGCTCAGGCTGGTGCGGGAGTTCTCGAGATGGCTCTTGTAGATGTCCTCGAGGCTCTTGGGCTCGTAGACGTTTAGCTCCTTGCCAAAGCTAATGAATTGCGTCGAGAGGTGCGTGTTGTAGATGCAGTCGAGCAGGTCATAGTCGGAGATGGGGGAGTCCTCGTCTTGCAGCCACTCGATGGGCACCTGCTGCCGGCCTAGCATGAAGGCGAGCTGCTTGCGCATCGACGGATTCTTGGGCGCCTCAAAGTCGGAGCGGATGAGCGCCTTGTCGCCGAGCCTGAGGGAGAGGGTGAGCGCCTCTGTGTATCGTTCGTGCTTGCGATAGATCTCGTGTGCGGTCCGGAGAAACATCTCGTCATCCGGTGGCACGAGAAGGTTGACGCAGCTGACCATGTACAGGCAGACGCGGGCGTAGGTGTCCTTGTCGACAAACTGGGGCAGCTTGTCGATGGCCTCGAGCTCGAGCAGCAGGTCGACAGCATCGGCCTCGGCATTGTGCTTGAGGCTGAAGGGGACCACTTGAAGGGCGAGGTCCATGAGCTCCGAAGTGTCGGCGTCGTTCTCCTGCCTCGCCGCGTGCTCCTCGCCGAGCTCCGCTGCCAGATGCCTCATGTACTCGTGGCCCCAAAGACCGGGATCCTCGGGTGTCCCGACGTCGACCTTGTTGGCCTTGAGGCGGAACGCGAGTGTCTCGCGCTGGCCATTGTCAGAGTAGGTCATGGCGAGGACGGAGAGGATTTCGGCAAACAGGGACTTGTCTGAGTTGCTGACGGTCCAGGCCTCGTAAATGTCCTTGAGGTCGGGGTAGTGGGGCCGGAGGAACTTGAGGGGCTTGGGAACGGACGTCATGCTCGAGGTGCTAGTGCGGATGAGGGTGCGGAGCGACTCGAGAGCTGGCCGGTGCAGATCTCGTTCGTCCTCCTGTCGTAGGCGGCGAGAGAGGAACAAGCACGAGGATGCACAGTGTCAGCGCATCAAGCCGCTGCGGCGAATCGAGGGTGTCGGGTCGCCCATGGGCATCGGTGGGCAGAGGCGGGACGCTGAGGAGTGGCTTTGACTCACCTTTAGCCTCTCGACGAGCATCTCGAGCTCATTCTTGAGCTGCAGATCTTCCTCGCTCAGCTCGTCGTCGGCCTTTGCAGGCTTGCCGTCGACCTTGTGCTCGCCATTGGGGCCGGTGCCTTTCTGAGCGGCCTCTTCTCTCTTTTTGGCTCGCGCCTTCTGCTCCTCGGTCTGGACCGGGTCCTCTGCCGGGACGGTGATATCGATCTCCTCGCCGTCTCCTCGAGGCATGTTGGTTAGATTGGCGAGTGTGCTGTGAGCGGGCGACGCCTTGTGATTGTGAGGCGGCCGTGGCGAGGGCGATGATCGTCGGAGCTACCGTGTACGCGGGAGGGAGGGTGGAGATTCGTCGCGGCTATGATGACGATCGAGCAGACTAGACTGGTGGAAGGGACCTTTGAAGGTGGAATGAGGGAGTGTATTGGGAGGAGAGGTGGTGGTCGATGAGCCAAGGAAAATGGTGGCAACACAGGTAGGTGTTGGGCTTGACGGGCGGCGCCTGGTCTGGTCTGGCCTGGCCTGGCAGCGGGTGGGTGCGGAAAGTGGAGAAGGAGCATTCGCGGCCCGCGACCCTTGGGCCCTCTCCCCGCCTACGCCGATCACACAGCGTCGCCGCCAATTTTCAATGACTAAGCACCCTTCGGCTCCGAGCAAGCAGCTCCCCGGCGGCGCTGAGCTCCTGTTCGTCCCCAAGTCCCACCCACCCAACTCGAGCGTCACAGAGGCGAAGCGAACACACATCGTACGTACCTAGACTAGCGAGCGTGGTACAAAACAGCATGCCTCTGGCGTGCACGTCTGACGAGCAAAAGCCGCGGTGCCTCTCGAAGGTGGCCCAAGCAAGCAGATCGAGGGCTCGGCAGGCGTCGACCAATCGGGGAGAGGCCACCTTAAGACTTCCAGATGACAGCCGAATCGGGCACCAAGGCGGAATTTTGGGATCGAGGCCAACTTCGCCTGGGCCCAGTCACGAGTGAGAAGCAAGGCAACCGTCAGGGACCAAGACTCGACGACCTAGTTATAGCTGAAGAGACCAAGCCACCGAGCTCGCTCTCGGCCGCACCCACCTCGACCTCACTCTCGCGCACTCTTGCCAATCCGACAGCCACGCGCTCCACGCTCCTCGCTCCATCCCAACCACACCTTGCTTCTTCCTCTCTCTTGGCCCGCTGTCCAGCGCAAGTCTTCCCAGCCCCTTAGATCCACCGCAACACCCTTGGCCGCCCGATCCACAGCGACGCAGCTCTCGGGACCTTCGACTTGTCGCCACTCGCTCTTGCTCGCCCGCTTCGCTCTGTACCGGCGCTGGCACCTTCACTCATACGCCCTCGACCTGCCATTCGACCTTCGCACCGCCTCCGACCCCCTGCTGTCCTTGGTCTCGGTCGTCTGGCGCGCGCCACCCATCCCCACTTTCGCGCCGCCTTGCCCGGCCGCACCCTGAGCCGTGGCAAACCTTGCGGTCAAAGTGGCCTGCCTTCCCCGCTTCTCGTGCGCGCCCCTCAGGGTACAGGCCGCTGCGCGGTCCTGATCTCCTACAACACCAGCATCGGGGCTTGTTGACGCTGGCAGGACGGACAAACCCGTCGCGATGGCCTCTCCCGTGCCCTCGCCGCTCGAGGCGCCGGCAGAGGGTTCGAGGGACGGGCGCGATTCGCCCCGTCGCAGGCTAGCCCTCACCACGGGTCAGCGCTTGAAGCAGATGAACCAGCATCATCCCTACCGCATCGAGCTGCTCGACCTCACGCCCGTCTCAGTGTCTGTCCTCTGGTCCACCCGACCGCCGCCGCTCAGCGCCATTCCTTCAGGCATCATCAGTACCCCGCTCAGGCAGCGCTTTCAGGCTCGGACCCTGCCAAATGGCAACAGCTCTCCAGCCCCTTCCGCTACCGCATCGGCCGTGTCGACACTGCCTTCCGCTCCCGCTGTCAATGTCACGGCGGCAAAGCTCCCTCACTCAAGGTATCCCCCCCTCTCCTCCGAGACTTCATCCAACGCCGGAAGCGCTCGCGCTTCCCCTATCCCTGGCTCCTCGCACGACGTGCCAATACACCGGCTGGCCGAGGGTCTTGTTGCCACTCGCAGCCTCAACCGAAAAGTCACAAAGATTCGTCTGCGCGGCCCCTCCTCTGCCTCGCCCGCACCGGGCAGACGTGTTTCCAACGACGCCGCCACCTTTGAGCCAAAGGCAAGACCGAATGACGACGACGGCCTAGTCTCCGACGATGCCACGAGCGGCTTCGATGAAGACGGCGCATCAGGCTCAGAGGGATCCGACTCAGGCTTTGAGGGCGATCCGAGGGCTTCCAACATGGTCCACGTCTTTGAGAAGCGGGTCAGCGTCACCGTCAACGGCAACGATTGGCCCCACGTCCTCATGGGTGAGAGAGGCAGCCACGAAGCGATCGTCGTCATCTTTGGTCTACAACCGGAGTCGGACTACGACATCCAATTCGAAGTCAAAGTCGGCCTCGATGGAACCCTGGAGAGCTTGAGGCTGCCCATCGCAGCCAAGGCAGAGAGAGGCGAGTCTTCATCCACGAACTAATCGTCTGATCATCTCGCGTCTTCGCGTGCTGACCGCAGGGTCGTGAAATCTCTGTTCCATCCGCACACCAGATCGCAACGGCGACTCAGCATCAAGCAGCAGAGGAGTAGTCTCGGCAGTCATCGGAGGTTCTACGGCGGCTACCGTCAGACCTGGCTCACCCTCGCCTCTCGGGAAAGCCGGGGTCAGTACGGACAACGGATCAGGAGTGATCAACGTCCAGAGAAAGGCGCTGTTGCAGGCCGAACTCGAGACGTCCGAGGCTCTGAAGTCAGAGATGCTCGCCGAGCTCCGCAAGGCGCGCAAGGAGACATCGAAAGCGGAATCGGCTTTGCGTCATGAGATCGAGAGCATCAAACGCCACATTGACCGCATGAGCTCGACAGACCACCGCAGCAAACAGAAGGTCCTCGCCCTGCAGGAGGCCATCAAACAGACGTCGGCCCATGTCAAGGAGATTCACAACGATGCCGAAGAGATCGAAGGCGAACAAGACGACTGGATCAAGCAGGAGGCAGAAGTTGTCCGGAAGCTCGAAGAACTCAGGAAGGAAGTCGATGACGAGGACGCAGAGGTCGAAGCTCAGCTTCAGAGCGACGAAGCCGAGATCGCGGCCGTGGAAAAGGAGCTCAAGACCGTCGAAGCCTCAGTCCGGAGCAAGAAGACGGACCGCGACAGCCTCCAGAGCGACAAAATACCATCGCTCGAGGCTGAGATCGCCAAGCTACAGTCACAGATCAAGGACCTACTCTCGAAGCCTCTCCATGCTCGCAGGGGCGGGCATGCATCGGGGCGAGGCGGCGGTCGCGGAGGCAGCGGGTCAAATCACATGGTCCCTTCGCAAGTTCTCCCGCGAGGCAAGGGCCCTCAGGGTTTGGGCTACTCGTCAGGCTCGGGGGCTCGAGGCGGCAAGGCATCACACGGACACAACGCCCGCGCTGCCTCCGGCCCGGCATCGCACGGAGGCCATTCTTCCAGCGCATATCCGGTTGTCGGCAAGCATTACGTCTCGAATGGCGTTGCACCCAATGTCGCGCGTCCTTATCGCTCGAGCAACAATTTGCGCCCCGACGGTGGTGCCGGGTCGATCTCGATCCACTCGCCCTTCGATCCCACAAGCACCGAACCACCTCATCTCGCTGGCTTCTCCCATTCGCACGCGCAGGAAGGGCATTACGGGAGTCCTCAGGGGACTGGCTTCGGTGTGCTGGGCACTGGCGGAATGTATGGAGGCTCCGGGTACCGGCCAGACGCCGTTGCTGGCGCTCATGATTACAGCGCCGAAGCTTCGCCTGTCAGCTCCGAGCGTCGCTCCAGTCTCCCGCTGCCGCAACTGTTCGGCAAAGGCCCGACGAACTCGGTCCTCAACCCCAACAATCCAGAGTTCGTCCCGTCGGCGTCTTCCGCCAATGCTTCGCCGATTATGCTCAAGGAGACCATCGGAGGTGCGGCACAGAGCACGAAAGCCGGACCTCCTTCCGCCTTCGCCCCGCCGATGCTCAACTCTACCCCTCCAGGAGGATCTTCGATGGAGCATTCGCCCACGTCGTCGTCCCGCTTCGCATTTCCACTTGCCCGTCACGGTGGAGCTGGACCTCTCACCAAGCCCGTCATGACGAGCACCGCCCCCTCGCCGATCGGGTCGGATCGCGTGCCGGCCTCGGTCAGTGAAGGAGCTCCTTCCAACTCCGTCATCGGCAGCCAGCTGTTCCCACCGGGATCCAACTCCGCCAATTCGTTCAACCGATCATCGCCATTGCTATCGAGCGTTGTCCCGACTGCATCGGGATCAAGCCCTCTGCTTTACGGGTCTAGCAGCCCGCGCTTTGCTTCGGCTCCGTTCACTAAGACGGAGGATCCGCCGACATCTCAAGAAGGCGCATTCGCCACCAGCAAATTCGGACCACTTGATTACGATCCGAGCCTTGAGGACTTTGGTCCCGGCCTGAACCTCGGCGCGGGTTCCATTTTCGGGCCCAGCACCAGCAGTGCCTCGGCTCCGTTGCCCTTCGGTGGAGGCGCGTATTCGTCAATCTTCCGGGCACCCAACGCTTGGACGTCCCCCGGCGCACCTGCGACTTCATCGGTAGGGAGCGGTGGCTCCGCTGTAGGCTCTTCGCTCGTCAGCACTAGCTCCGCAACTGGCCCTTCGCTCTGGGCAGCCCCATCGCCACCCTTAGGGGGTGGGCTCAGCGTGCCCGGTGCCACCAGCGATATCTGGTCTCCCCCCTCGCTGTCCGGTCCAACCGCGCCCTCCTCGCTGCGGACGAAACTCTCGCTCGGCGACTTTAGCCAGCAGCGTTCAAGCTTGGTCCCAATCGGTGCCTCACACGATATTGGTGCCGACTTTGGCCCGGGGACCGGTATTGGCGGCAGTAGCAGCCTGCTTTCGGACGGTCCCGGCGGTGGTGGCCTCCGCAGCGGAGGCGGGGGTCGGCTCATGAACATGTCTGCGCCCGTAAGCCCGACTAGCCCGCATCGCCCGGAGCACTCGATGGCGCAGCCAAGTTCTGGACTGGGCCACAACAACCCCGCCCACAGCACCGGCGAAAATTTCGACGTCGAGATCCTCGCCGAGATTGCCAAGACCGTCACGGCAGGTCAGACGAGGAGTGATTCAATCGTTGCCGACGACGTTTCGACGACCGCGCGGCCCTCTTCTAACTCCCGTACCCAGGAGAACGAGGCCGAGTCACCACCGACACCTAGCTTTGCCGACGTTGCGGCTGCGGCCAAAACGCCGCCGCCGCCGCCGTCTAGCTGACGAAGGACCTCCGCCCGGCACTCTCGACCTTCTTATCAAGTCTGCCTCTTAACGGCTTGCACATGTATTTCTAGCTCTATCTTCGAACCTTTTCCCAGGCCGACCTTGGTCGTCCGGTAGCCCGTGACAATCTGGTCTACCATCGAACCCACGCTGAGCGCCTTGCTGTGATCGGTCATTCTCAGATCAGGTCAAAGACGTGTGTTCAATTGCCAGCTAGGGTCGCGATCTACACCACACCCACTCGAGGCGATGCGGGGCGCGGTAGAGAGAAAAGGTCCGGAATCAGGGCACGACCCTCCTCTTGGTCCACTCGCCAGTGGCCGCATTCTGGCCGGGCTTCAGCTCATAGATGGTCCGCGTATCGTCGGCAAGGTTGACAACGTCCACCGAGCGCGGCTCGATGACGAGGAGGGCAAAGTTCTTTTCGCTCTCGCGCAGCTGCTGTCTCTGCTGCTCGGTCTCCTCCTTGCCGGGTTGCGGCAATTCGAGCGGCCAGGGCGAACTGGTGTCATCCTTGGGTCTAGCCGTGTCGAGCGCATCGAGGTTCGGGTGCGCCGATCCAGGCGTGGGGCGACAAAAACTCGCCAGCAGACCTGGATTGAGCTTGTTGAAGATGCGGCTCCGTTCGCCGTCCCAATCGAAAGGCTCAGTCGAGGTCGACCCGGGCGCCCGTGGGGGAGTGAGCCGATCGTAGGGAAACGAGCTGCGAAGCGGATGTCCCTCGGTAGGCAACACATGCAGAGTGCCGGAAATGCGAAACTGCAGCTGTGCCGACTCGATCCACCATGCAATCTCGCCTTCTCCGCCATGGCTTCCATCCGTGCCCTGCGCCCGGATGCCGCTCTGGGAGATGAGCTGCTGAACCTTGGGCGTGCGCACGTCGGTTGTCGTCATCAGACACGGACTCGATCCGAAGTTAGGGTTCTGCGGTGCGATGCCTCCCGAAGCGTCGCCGTCGCGCTTCTCGTTCACGAAGCCGCGGTGCACGACGTAGCGGACGTGCGGCTTGGCCGCATCGTGGACCGAAGTCTGCGCCTCGACAGTAGAGAGGGCGTAGTAGAGGAGCGATTTTTCGTCCTTGATGTGTTTTCCGATCTTTTCGGCCAACAGCTGCTTCCACTCGGGCTGCGGCGAGTTGTCGGTCGCCCGGCTCTGGCCTCCGCCCGAGGCGTGGCCGTCCTCGGCTCCCTGCCCGCCGCTCGATCCGGTGCCATCACGCGCGCCCTCGTTAGCGTTGCCCACGACGGCGCCGACGCGCTGACCATCGAATCCGCCCGAAGTTGTGCGAGCACGCTTTGACAGAGCCTCTTTGAGGTCCCTGAGGATGATGGCGTCTACGTCCTGGGAGCGGACGTGTTCCGGGTCAATGTTGAAGACCTTAGCGAGATCCTCCTGCGTCTTGGCCTGGGAGATACCGGAGCGGAGGGCCGAAAGCTGCTTCTTGGGCATCATCTTGGTCTTGCCCTGGAGCTGCACCTCTTTTGGGATCGACTCGGATGGTTTGAATGCCAGCTGACCAAGACAGTATTTGGTGTTGCCGATCGGGTTGTTGAGCGCCAGAGAGTATTGGATCAATTTGGGCGCGATGGTGTCCGGAACGCTGAGGTTGCCCTCGGTTCGGAAGCACGACGGGTTGGCCTCGGCGCCGCGGGCAATCATGGTCGAGGTGACGCCGGTGAGCTCCTTGATCCTAGGCGCCACGCTGGCGTCCCAGCAATCGCCGTTGCAGACGACGGGGATCTTGCGATGGAGGCTCTTGGCGGTGGCGTTGACGTGGTCGACAATGTCGCGCAGGCGGTCTAGCAGTGCCGGCTCGCGAGGACGCATGTCCTTGGTCCGACAGTGGACTGTGAGGCACTCGATGGCACCCGTCCGGACGATCTGGTCGACGAGAGCGATGGTGGCCTCCTGGGTCGGCAGCAGGCGGATCTTGCAGGTGACAGCCACATGAGGCGGTGCGGCCCGGCGCATGGCCGTGAGGATGTTGCAAAGGAGATCCGGCGTCGAGAGCAGGTTGGCGCCCATACCGGCATGAGTGGAGAAGGGCTTTGGGCAGCCGCAATTGAGGTCGACTGCGGCGACGTCGTCGTGCTCGGTAATGATCTTGACCGCCTGCGCCGCCTGCTCGGGGTTGGCGCTGCCCACCTGGAACACGAGGTAAGGTCGTTCGATGGGGTGGCAGGAAAAGACCTGTTTGTCGTCCTTGAGGTACTCGATCACGCCGGTGCGAGGATCGACGCGGCGTTGAGTGCCCATAATGGCGCGGTCGACAATCTCAGGGCCCCACACAAGATCGGCGCCGTATTCGAGCGAGAGTAGGCGGGTGGGAAGGGTGCCGATGCGAACCATGGGTCCGAGAAAGATGCCGTTCTCGTAGTCGAGGGGCGAGGTGCTGACGGGCAGGGGGCTGTCATCGGCTGCTACGGTACTTGGCTCCTGCTCCTGAACCGGGTCCATGTCGGCGTCCTCGAGGGGGAGGGTCGCGGTGGCCACGGTCTGGTTGGACAGGCCGGCAATGTTTTCGTACTTGGCACGCTTGGCTGGAGGGACCACCATGGCAGGCTGGGGGATCTGTGCGATCGACGGCATCGTAAGGTGGCGCTTCTTGAGAGAAGGGCAAAGGTGGTTGATGATAGCTCGGCCGTTGTGATGACCGCAATGAATGGGGCGAGGAGCTGTGGCAGTGGCGAAGTAGCTCAGTCCAAGGCGTCGAGATACGGGTAGACGTGAAGGCGAGGAGAGAGCAGGGCGAAAGAGGAATGGGGACGGGATCATGGACTGATATGGGCGAGGACGAAGAGAGCGACAGCAGAACGACCCCGGCTGTATGGATCGACTAGAGAGTAGCGGACCGGGCGACTGCTTGCTGGGTGCTGGTGGTGATGGTTGGGTGGGAAAAGGCTGCAGTAGTAATCCGAGGGAGGGGAATAGTAATCCGAGGGAGGGGAAAGTGGGGATGGCTGTCGGATGGCACACTTACAAGCCTAACCAGCTCTTAACTTACTCTACACTTACGCTGCGCTGCACCTCGACTCAAACTAGACTAACCTTATGCGATGGCCAGCCGACGACTTTCTTATCCAAGCTCCCGTGTGGAGGAACCTTTGCCGTGAATCATCACCCTTCGTCTCGATCTCGAAGGCCGTCCATACCGCCGACCAGCCAGGTGCCGTACGGTGGTGCATGTTCTTATGTTGCACTGCGCCGTCTTACTTATCGCCAACCATAGCTTCGTACGCACTATCCCGACCCGAAGCAAGCATGGGGGTGGCGAGTGGGCGGGCTCAGAACCTGAGGGGAAAAGAAATAATGGAGGTATTTGCAAAGTTCAAACCGATCCCTAGGCACTTCTTTGTCTGCGCCGAGGAAATTGACACACACCTCGACATCTTCACCCGAGCTGCGATGGCCCCGCCGCTCTTGCTCCCCACGAACATCCTCGTTCGCAGCCGACGACTGGACAGCCCCGAGGCACACTACTGACCACTACCGTGCAATTGTCCATAATACAGGATGAAGTCACCTAGCATGGGCCGGATCCTGGCGGTGTATGTACATACGCACTCTGCTGTGGCCGCTTCCATCGGCCTCAAAAGAGGTCGACAATGGCGCCGAGACCTGCTGCCTTGGCCACCGCCTCCAGGCTGCCGACCTCCTGCTTCGAGTATAGCTCGAATGGATCCAGCAGCGGCGTCCCCACCGCCGCCTCGAGCCTCTTCTTCGCTTCCTCGCTTTCACTCTTCGTCGCTGCCTTTCGCGCATCGGAGCTGGCGGTCGACGAGGCAGGTGACGACGGACCCTTCAGGTTGGATTGGAAGATGCCTGCCGCCGAGGCAGGCAGGAAGTCTTCAAAGACGATCGGTTCCGCTACCACGTTTCCGCTGCGGATGAGGGACTCGAGCACGTTGTTGCCTTCCTCGTCGAGTCCGGAGCTGACACGTGGAGACATGGTCCGGGCATCACCGACGATGCGGTAGCGGAAGAAGCCGAGGCCTTGTCGCCTGATCTCGTCGGCGTCGTCCGTGAAGCGATTGTCAAACTCGCGTCGAAGGATCGCCATGTACTCTTCGGAGCTCGCCTTGCGTGCCTGGTCTCGCTCGAGGTCGAACTTGGACCGGTGCACCGCCCGCATCACCTCGTCGTACAGGTCTGCACCTTTGCCCGTCAGCGCCTGTCCACGCTGCTCGATCTCGCCAAAGCGGGCAGTGTGGTGGCCACTGACGCGCGCCGACGAGTCAAATGGGTTGCTGAAGCTGACCTGCTCGCTGAGCGCGTGGAAGGACGTCTGGCGGAGGTAGATCGGGTTGATGCGCGGAGGCGGACCCTCGACAATCTCCTTTGCATCGATTCTGTCGGGCCAGCGGTCGGAAGGACAGGGGGGTCGTCGGCAGGCAGCCAAGAGGGTTCCACATCTGTCAGAACGGTCTCATCCTGCGACGACGGTTCTGCTGCGCCCATCGCGTGCACTCACCCTCTCCTTCCCATCTCCCTCTGCACCTCATCGATATCGAGAGTGCGCGGTGTAAGATGGTTTATGTGGGGGCCGCGGAAGCTGACGATGTCGGCGACCAGCGGATGTGCCGTCTTGAGAAGCTCATAATCGGCCTTGGAGACGTTGGTGTGCGAGTGCCACTTGAAGATTTGCAGGCACTCTTCAATGAACTCGAGAGCGTCCTCGCGCGGGACGGCAAGGAAGTGCGGCACACGTAGGATGTCGTCGCCATTGTCCGCCTCGCCCGGCTTGATTGATGCCTCCAATTTCTCGAGCAGTTCGACGCACCGGGGCGAGGCGATCCGTCGACTCGCCAGCAGCCGCTCGGCGAGCTGCCTCGTCTCGAGGTCGCCAATCAACTCAATTCGGAGCAGCGAACAAAAGATGCGGAAGGGGTTTTTCATGAGCTCCGTTGAGCCAATGGGGCGGAATGCCGTGGAGTGGATGGGAAGGCCGGCATCCGCCCAGAGGTCGTAGTAGCCCACCGACCTCATTCCGAGCACGCGAAAGATGCGCGAGAGAAACGCCAGCTCGGCAGGCGTCCCGACGCGCACCGCGCCGTGGCGCTCGACATTGAGGCGGCTGATCTCATCGTCCGAGACGAGCGAGGGATGCTGGATCATCATGTCTCCGTTGACGTCCGCAACGATGTCGAGCAAATCGCCGTACAGGGGCACCTCGCTCTTGTAGAGCTGTGACATTGACGACGCGAAGAGGGCGCGGAGGGAGTCCGAATCGATGCCATGCTGCGAGCCACCGTCGGAGGAAGCAACAGACGCGGTCTCGTCGCTCGAGATCTCTGGGAGCTGAGATTGGGTGTGGAGGAAGCTCACTTGAGGGTCTGCCAGCGCAGCACGGCTCGCAGCTCCTTCGAGGGGCTTGGAAGTTGTCGCTTCGGCCGGGGACTCTGCAGCGACGCGTCCCGCTGCGCCGCTGCGTGCAGCGATGGCATCGGGATGGTGCGAGTGAAGTCCCTTGGCAACCATGATGCGCTTCTTTCTTCGTGCCTTGCAGAGATTCTCGTTGGGAGAAGAGGGGCCCTGCACGAGTGACGGTACTGACGGAAGGGTCCGCAGGTAGAGGAGGGCGATGGAATGATGCAGGCCAAGCTTATTGGTTGTGTTCGAAGGCGGCGGAAGGCCACTGCTGCTGTCGGGGCTGGTTTGAACGCTGTAGGAGGCGTCCTGTTGGCGATCTCGATCTTGATCGAGACTTCTGTCCGGGAGCGCAGAGGAGGGCCGGTGTATATCGCGACAGCTGATGATACGATGAGGGCAATCCTGGTCCCTGCACATACAGGGCTTGACACGGACGATGGGGAGTGGACCTCCTAGCAAGGGCGAGGGTGGACGGACGCTCGTCGGACTGATCTCATCCACAGCGCGTGTGGTTTGAGCGTGGGTCGGCTGCGCCTTGGTCTCCGGTGCTGGCTTGACGGGGCCGAATGGCAGGGCGGGCGGTCTGGTCGTCGTGACTTGGCTCGTTTCAGAGAGATGATGATGTGTGTGTGACCCTCGCCGTGATCACGGCCGCACGCGTGGAGCTTATAAGCATCCTCAGCTGACCGCGGCCATGGTCTGTTGGCGCATCGCTTACTCCGCCGGCGATGCGCCGTGGAGCTGAGTGTCGAGATCGCTGATACCGGTTGTGGGTAGTCCGGAGTGGTTGACGGGCACGGAAGCCTGCCGAGGGCCCTTGCCCGAGAAGATTGGGCGCGCAAGCCACACAAGGAGCCCGCCGAAACGGCAACAAGTCCGGAAGGGTGCTGGGAGAGGTCATCGGTCTGCGAGTCCTGTGCAGGGCCTGGGTGAGCCAGAAGGACCGGCCCACACAACTCAGCTGGTCAGCCGTCGTGCGGTCTGGCGGCAGGGGGCCAGGCAAGGGGGCAAAGGCACCTTGGCGATCGCATCGCGTTGGAGGAGTCTCATAGGTAGCAAGGGTCTAGAGTGTAGTGTGCTGTAGGTGGTGGTGGCGGGACAGAGTAGTAGTACCGGTATTGTCGTCGTCTCTGGGATGGAGCGCACGCTCGCTGTTTTGCCGACAGCGACAGGTTGCGCCAGAGCAGGCAACTCGGCCATACGCCGAGCGGTGACAGCAAGCAGGCGGGTGAGGTGGTGGCCAGGCTAACGTTCGTGGCTGTTGACGTTGATGTCGACAAGAATCTTGAATGCGGTTTTGGTGAATGGACTTTGCGGTTGGGCGTCAGCCGACCACATCACGGGCTCCATCATGGGCCTCGATCTGCTCGGTCGGTGGGTCTGTTAGCGGGGGGGCCCTCGTCGGGCTCGACCGCGCCGCGCGCTGTTTGCGCTGGTGTTTTCGCCGAAAGGGGCCAGGGGACGCGGCCAATGACCGAGACGTCTCGGGCAAAGGCCGAGGGGGGCGCCTGACCTCGGCCGGCTGCTCGCTCGCACATTGCCCGAACGCCGCGCGGCCTGCTGCTTGAGCTTTGGCTCGCTCCACCCGGTCAGTTAGCCTGCAGGCAACCAGCAGAGACTTTGCGAGGCCTACCGCATCACCCCACCACCAACGACCGCTTCCACCTGTCACACCTGCTTGCTCCTCTCTCGACCGACCTCTCTGTCTAGCGCACCACACTACACTCTGCGGAGATGGGCCGAGCATGCCAGCTCCCGTCAGTCAGCCTACCGGTGCCAACCAGAGGGTCATCTGAGGCAAACAGCCAGCCGCCGGAAGGCTGCTCGTCCATCTCTGCCCGACCGACCGCCAACCTGTAGGCTACTATAAAGCCATGTCCAGGCGGCCAGCGACGGATGTCGCAAACAAGCTTCCCCTCGTAGAACCGCAAACCCTTTCGACCCATCACGACAGCCGCTATACCGTCACGCCTTCACTTCTGCATCCCGCACGCATCCCGACCCGCCCGATCGGACCTACGCAGCACCACCCTGGCCATATAGCGACGACACCATGCCCGAGCCCATCCCCACTCCGGCCGCTCCGGCCCCGACCCTCTCTCTTGAAAAGGTGTTTGCCAGGCTCGAGCTCGGCACCGTCGGGTCCGAAGTGGCCGGCATCTTTGACGGCGAGTGGAAAAACGGAGCCGGCTCTGATGTCCTCACGAGCCGTAACCCCGCCGACGGCTCCACCCTCGCCACAGTAAAGAGCGCCACCGCCGACCAGGTCAAGCAGGTGATTGCCGCGTCCAAGAAGGCCCAGCGCGAGTTTGCCAAGGTGCCCGCACCCAAGCGTGGCCAGATCATGAGGGATCTCTGCGATGAGTACATGCGCCGCAAAGATGCCCTCGGCGCCCTCATCTCCTACGAGATGGGCAAGGTCCTCACCGAGGGCAAGGGCGAGGTGCAGGAGGTTATCGACGTGGCCGACATTGGTGCGTAGCTTTGACTCGATTCGGAGCCCAACTGCTCCCTCGGAGCCCAGACTGATCCCGGCTGCGGACCCTCTCCTCGACCGCGTCGTCCGCCATCAGCTGTCGGCCTATCTAGGAGCATCAAGGGCAACGTGCTGCCATCAGAGAGGCCCGGCCACGTCATCTACGAGATTCCCAACCCGCTCGGGCTCGTTGGCATCATCACTGCCTTCAACTTCCCCGTCGCAGTGCACGGCTGGAATTTCTGCCTCTCGTTCATCGCAGGCAATGCCAAGTGAGTCCGGATTCGGACAGGGCCCGCAAGTATATCGACTGAGAACTCACAAATCCATTCTCTGCTCGCTCTGCCTGCCGCATCGCAGCATCTGGAAGCCCTCGCCTACCACCCCTCTCACCGCGATTGCGACGACCAAGCTGATCGTCTCTGTGCTCGAGAGGCACAACCTGCCCCTCGCGCTTGCTTCGCTCGTCTGCGGCGATGTTGAGACGGGGCAAGCGCTTACGCGCGATGAGCGCGTTCAGATGGTTTCCTTCACAGGCTCAGAAAAAATCGGCAAGGTGGTGGCGCAGGATGTGGCTGGACGACTGGGCAAGACTCTCCTCGAGCTCGGAGGCAATAATGCTGCCATCGTCTTTGAAGACGCGGACCTCTCGATCGCAGTCCCTGGCGTGGCGTTTGCTGCCATCGGGACCGCAGGCCAGCGCTGCACCTCGACCCGTCGACTCCTCCTCCATTCCAAGATTGCAGACCAGTTCCTCGACCGCCTGGTCAAGGTCTATCAGGGCGTGAGGGACAAGAACCTCATCGGCGACCCGATCCAAGACGGCATCATGTGCGGACCTCTGCACTCTTCTGCAGCCGTCGAGAAGTACTGGCAGACTATCGAGAAGATCCAGGCCACCGGCGGCAAGGTCATCTTCGGCCCAACTTCTCGTCAAGAGGGTGCCTCCGTCACCGCCAGCGGCAAGGGCGGAGGAAATTACGTGATCCCCACCATCTGCCAACCTGCTTCCTCGACCGACCAAGTCTTCCAGGAAGAGGTCTTTGCGCCCATCCTAAATGTCGCCATCTTCGACACACTGGAGGAGGCCATTGAGCTGAACAACGGCGTTCCCCAAGGCCTCTCCTCGTCTCTGTTCACGCGCTCCCTCGAGAATGTCGGCATCTGGCAGGGAAGCCTCGGATCCGACTGCGGCATCGTCAATGTCAACGTCTCCACGAGTGGCGCAGAGGTCGGTGCTGCCTTCGGCGGCAACAAAAGCACCGGCTGGGGTCGCGAGTGCGGAGGAGACAGCTGGAAGCAGTACTCGCGATGGGCGACGTCCACCGTCAACAGCTCAAACCAGATGACCTTGGCTCAGGGCGTCAAATTCGATGCATAGTCTGTGTCCCCGAAGCGTCGTCGCGATCTCGACATCGATCCGTAGCCGTCGTGTACTATGATATACCGCAATCAACCTCAAAGTGATGATTCAAACAGTACTGGCATGCATAGCTAGCGTCAAAGGTACCTACGATTTGGGCTGTGAGAGTCCTTCGGCCCTGAGCTCGGGATTCGGGAGTGTTCTGTGGCCTTTTTGGGCCGCCAAGCTTCTTCGGCTGGCAATCGAAGGAGTCCTGCGGCTTTTTTGGGCCGCACGGGCCCTATGCACGCAAAACGGCAGGCATAGCTACCCTCATTTGCAATTGGATCTGATGTTGCACCAACACAACTTTGACAGCCGTTTGCTACCCCGAAGAGCAATCCTTACGCTGCACCAAGACAAAAGTGATGTTTTGAATACATTGCCCGCTCCACCATCATCGCAACAAGGGCAAATTCCCTCCTGCTGCCGCCAACCTCTGCATTGGACACTTTCGACGCTTGTCGTCGAAGCAAAGTTGGTCGTGCACCCACCCAGGCTGCTACTCTTCCTTCTTGGAGCGTTTGATGGCCACAGTGCTTGCTCCTCGTGATTGTGTGTGTGGTGGGTGCGACAAACTGGAAGCAGGTTGGCGGCACCGCAGCGGCAAGGCCTTCAGGTTGCAACGAGAGGACCCTCTGACCCATGGGCATCACTTTTGTCTCGGTACAACGTAGGCATTGCTCTTTGGGGTAGCAAACGGCCATCAAAGTTGTGTTGGTGCAACGTCAGATCCAATTGCAAATGAGGGTAGCGGCAAAAATTTAGCTATGGCCTCGGGAGTCGGAGATCTCCTTTGTACCCTCAGGGCCGTACTCAGCCAGTCTACATCTTCGGCCTTTGGGCCGTAGGACTCCTAAGCTCCCAGGGCCGTAGGACGGCATTGCTCCCACACCGCAGGCATAAGCACGCACCCACAGCCGTATCCTATCTACAATTTCATTGCAATACTATGCTACCTACTGTCACAGCCCTGGCCCAATTGGGGCTGAGCTGCGCAGGCCGGCAGGGCAGAGGATTTCTGGAGCCAAGGGGGATTCTCTCCACCCAGCTGCGGAGAGGAATCATCGGGCTGCCAGCAATATTCTGCGCGTCAGGCGACGTCGGCACACACTGTGCGGCTCTGCAGTTGCTCCTGCTGGCAGGAGGATGCTTTGGATCTGCTCCAAGGGCCAAGGACTAGGCTTCAGGCACGCCAGTGGCGTCCCACCTTGGAGCAATGCCTTGGGATGACAACGGAGGACAATGGGACAATAGGGGCCATTTCTGATTGGTCAAGGCAGGGATGCCTCGATGCCGTTAGGTAGACAGTATATAGCCTAGTCCTCCTCTGCATTGGTAGACTGGATGCCCCTCATCCAGTCTAGTCAATACCAGTCCTCACTGCTTGCTTGTCTACCATTGACGTGAGAGCCCATGGCTACGGTTGTCTAGCAAATACGATATCTATTGACAGATCACCTCGCCAGCACCCCGTAGTCATCTTTGACCGTGGATGCCTGCCAACGGTGCTCACAGACGCCCTCAGTATTGACCCACCGTTCCCAAACCTCCCTTGCGCCTCTGATGGGAGCACCAAAGTGATCGCCCTCCAATGCGCAGAGACTCTTTGCCCCTTGGACACTTCTCTGCGCACTTGCCAGGTCGACCTTTACACTTACAAGGGCAGCACCAACAGCGGTAGTGCAAGGTGGCAGCAGGCGGCAGCAGTGCGGCAGTAGCGCGGCAGCAGCAGCAGAGCATCATTAGCAGCAAAGTAAGGCGGTGAAGGAGGAGCAGGCAAAAGGAAGAGGGGAGCAAAGGAGTCAGCAACGGCGCAGAAGAGCAGCAGAAGAACGAGAGCGGCAACAGCAAACTTGCATGCTGAGACGAAAACACACATCCATAGCTAGCAGCAGGATCTGGTCGAAAAAAATCGCACATGTATAACAATCTCGAAATCCAGCTGCAGCCAGCTTGTGCGGTTCCTCAGAAGCGCATCAGGCATGCGATCAGCTGCAATCTGAGATCCTGAATTTTTCCTGCCTGCGATCTGAAATCCACTCATAGTGGCCAGGATTTCAGATCGCATTTGTATAACGACTCTCAAATCCTGGATCGCACAGCTTGTGTGATAGGAAAAATCGGGAATCACTTTTGCTGCTAGCTATGAGTGCTGGGTGGCAAAAGGGCCGGGTGGCAAAGGGCCAGCGCGCGCACGCATGCCTGGCCTCCTGTGCTCATAGCTAGCAGCAGGGCCTACCTACAATTTTTCAGATCATAGGTAGGCGTAGCCAATATACAATTTTCTGACGTAGGTAGGCCTTCTACACAAACAATTTCTGGATGCAGACAGGCCGTGCCGATTTTTAGATTGTATACTAGCTACAATTTTCAAATCATAGCTAGACCGGTCTAGCTACGATTTTTGGAATGTAGCCAGGCAGCAATCAGAATGTGGCTACAATCAATTGGATCAAATACTAGCTTTTATTGCAGAATCAAACGCTATCTACGCTACTGGAACACACGCTGACTGGGAGACATGGCGTGCCAGTAATACCTGCGCCAGCAGGGAGGCACTCACAGCGGGGCAGGCCAGGGTTGGCGTCGATCGGTGGTGGCAGCGGCATGTTGATGCAGGACATGGCGCGGCGCGGAGAGAGCAGTTACAGACCTGAGGAAGAGGGGTACAGGGAAGGAGCAGACTGTCAGCGTGCTGCAACAGAGTGATGTCAGAAGAGCGCCACGGTGGATTGATGCACTCACCTGACAAAGGCTGGGCGATTTGCCTTAGAGGTGCAGACGGTGGCAGCAAATTGGCATTGGTGGTGGCGGAGAGTCGGCAGAGGTGGTGGCAGCAAGTCGGCAATGACGGTGGCAAGCGATGAACCGCAGGGCATAACGCGGCTGAGGTGGATGGGGTGTATGCCAGCTGGTGGCGTCAACGGCAGTTGGGTGGCGGTGGCGGGCAAAGGACCAATGGCAGGCAAAGGGATGATGGAACAAGGCGGCTGGATGCTGGTGGGTGGCGTCAATGTCGGTCAGGTGGCGTTGATGTTGGTCAAATGGCGGTGGCAGGCGAGGGTCAATGGTATTGGTCGGGAGGGAAGGAGCAACAGCGGAGCGGGCAAGACTTTCTACCGAGGCTCAGCTGGCAGGCAGGCGGTCAGGCAGGCTGCCTGCCTGCATGGGCACACACGCTTGCAAGCCTGCAAGCCTGCGTGAGCACGCACGCGGTCTGGCGGCGTGGCTCGGCGGCATGGCCTGGCGGCGTGGCCTGGCCTCCACATTTTTTGTTTGCGCGCGCGCAAGCTTAGTCAGCTGCGCCAGCCAGCCAGCTTGCGGGCCCAAGCCCGCCAGCAGGCCGGCCCCTGAGCCTGCCCTCCAGCCAGCCTGCTTGACTGCTCGCTGCAGAGCGGAAGCAGTGCGGCTGTCAATCATCGGAATCCTCAGAGAGCTCCTCTCCGAGGATTCTGATGATTGACAGTGCGGAGGTGGCAGGGATGCGGCTGTGAGGTGGCAAGGCAGGCAGGCAGGCAGGCAGGCAGGCAGGGGGGGCTACAATCTTGGATTGTAGGTAGGCCAAATTTCGGATTTTGGATTGTAGCTAGTTGTAGGTAGGCTAAGCAATGGAAAAATCGAAGATAGGGATCAATCCCCAATTTTAGATTGTAGCCTGCCTACAACCAGAATTGGGCCCGACCCTGCTGCTTGCTATGGCTGACATAAGCAAACAAGTCGTACCGTTAGCCGTGTCAGTCATAGCTAGCAGCAAAAGTATTTCCCGATTTTTCCTATCACACAGGCTGTGCGATCCAGGATTTGAAAGTCATTATACAAATGCGATCTGAAATCCTGGCCACTATGAGTGGATCTCAGATTGCAGACAGGAAAAATTCAGAATTTCAGATTGCAGCTGATCGCACACCTGCTGCGATCTGAGGACACAAGCTGGTTGCAGCTGGATTTTCAGATCGTCATACATGTGCGATTTTTTTTTGGCCAGATCCTCATGCCTGCTGCTAGTTCTGGGTGCAGTTGCCTGGCCCTGCTTCCTGAGGCCAACAGCCGCTGCCCGGCCCAGCCAGCTGCCAGCTCAGCACAGCTGCCTGGCCCAACTGCAAGCCACCAGCCGGCCCAGCCAGCCACCCAGTGAGCTGCCAGCCGCTGCTACTCGACACTTACGACTGCTTGCTTCCACCCTGCTGCCGCCGTCAATCATAGCTAGGGGCAGGCTTTTAGCCTACGATTTTGGAAATCGTAGGTCTCGTACGCATAGCTAGCGGCAGGAATTTAGCTACGGCCTCGGGAATCGGAGATCTCTTTCGCTACCCCAGGGCCGTACCTAGCCGGTCTACCACTTTGGCCTTTCGGCCGTAGGACCCTTACGCTCCGCAGGGCCGCAGGACCTCTACGCACCAAGGGCCGTAGGACTGCATCGCTCCCACACCGTAGGCACAACACGCACCCACACCTGTATCCTAGCTACAATTCAATTGCAATACGGTACCTACAAGGGCAGCAGCAACGGCGGTAGATGAAGGTGGCAGCAGGGCGGCAGCAGCAACAGCGGCAGAGCATTGTCAGCAGCAAAGTAAGGCGGTGAGGGAGGAACAGGCAAAAAGTAGAGGGGAGCAAAGGAGTCAGCAAAGGCGCACAAAGGAGCAGCAGACCAAGAGGGACAAGGAGCGGTGGTGGCAACTCACATACAGATAGGATAGGACAAGGCAAAGGGGCAAGCCGTCAGCAGGGCAGTGCGCGCAGACTCACCGGGGCAAAGGGCCAGGAGGCAACGGCGGCTGGCTGTTGAGCGGAAGGCGGAAAGATGGCCGTCAATGGTCAAAATCATCGGAGACTTTGGAGACGCCTCTCCAAAGTTTCCAATGATTGACGCCGGCAGCAGGACAGAAGCAGCGGCGGGGCGGCTGCTGGCGGCTGGCCGGCTGCTGGATTGCTGCTGGGTGCTGGCGGCTGGCGGGCTGGCTGCGTTGACGGCTGGCTGACGGCTGGCTGGCGGCTGGCTGGCTCGGGT